TTTTTTGAACGGCATTTCGAATTCGTTTCAATGTGATCCTCTCGCATAACGCACTAGATAGTTCGTGCTTTGCTAGGTTTTGATTCATCGATAAGACAGCGTGGTGTGCGCTACCTACGATGTGCGCATGGGTAGGGTCCACTGGATGCCATTCYRAACATGGACACCATTGGTCAGGGATGCTAGCATTTCTACACGTACGGTTTTCTGGTAGGGCCTCAAAAAGACKTGTACCTCGCTTCGTTTTGGCAGAAGGTTTAGAGAAAGATAATARTTGTAAAAACGTCGAATGAAGGTCATAAGGAGAAGTAATGATTTTAGTGTTGCTCTGCAAATTTGCGACTTTTTCAGGAAACTTTTCTTTAAACCAAGTTGGTAGGGTAATGGATAGAAATGGAAGCCTTTCCTCTAGCCTTCCTTGTTGTGTGCTTCTAATTTCACCAAATCGAGCTCCATGATCACTCATCATAACAAACATACTCTCATTTAACATTTTTTCTGYCTTTAGTGATTTCAGAAATGCCAACATCTCTAAATCCGCACCACTGACTAAATTCAAAGCCYTGTGGCATAAATCGCACAAAATTGTGAATCCAAACTTTCTTTGTCKTGGATAGGATTTCATGAAACTTCTGAGGTAATCCAGCTGCACTTTGACTTGAAATTGTCCTCCCAGGCACATTCCTAATGCACCACTTAACCAAAGAGGTCTGGGATAGTGATCAGTCGGTTGTTCTTTGAAGCCTGGAAGGGTTARCGTATACGCGCCTGAAACAAGAAAACTTATATGAAACCATTTATGATTGGAGTTGGAGTCTTTTATTTCATTTTMTATCTTCCAAAGAGGAAAAGGCAAGGCAAATAAAATTAATTTCCCGAGTTCATGTGTATATTTTGGGAAAGGTCTATTATATGAMATACATGGGTATATTACCTAGGGCAGCAAAATCTTCACTCCACATTGTAACGAAACCATTTTTCTTCAAGTCTTTAAAAAGAAGGGRCCAGTTATCGACATTCTCGTCGTCATGGTGAAGTTCTTTATTCTCCTCCACGGTATTTCCCGTCAGCATTGCGTTAACGTTAGGCAASGTTGCATCTCCTACAACAGAATAACCTTTAAACATGTAAGATCCAAGTTCATCTCTAAGAAAAGCGTAAGTCATGGGAAGCATGCGTCGAAAGTGAGCCTCCGATGTTCCATCCAGTTCAATGATAATGATATCCAGTGGTGCATCATTATTTGGCATGCGCGATAGCACTTCCTGTTTTTCCACCACCGACATATGATATGTTGTAAACGTCTGACCATTCTTTAACTTTGTAGTTACCTTCCATAGGTCTTCCTCAATGGAGAAATTAGATGTATTGTTTGTAAGTATGTGTGGTTCTCCGAGATGAAATGAATGGTCATTTCTCGCAGTAGTTCCATTGGGTCTGTGAATGGGCTGTGCCTCTGTCTGTAAAAGATTAGAATCTGGAATACGAGATTGGTAACGAAGTGATTAACGTTCTTTCACTACTTAAACCATTGCAACACCATGCACATTTTGTTTTTAATCACAGAACTACTGGTACTACCACTCCTCCTCCTCCTCCTCCTCCTTCTCCTACTTCTACTACTACTGCTACTACTACTTGGGTTTTTACCCTCTAATTACCCCCAAAAGACGCAAAGTATTATGGGAATGTGAAAGTAGAGAACAACTACCACCACAATGTCTCAAATATATTTTCTACCAAAACTACTCCCTCTGCTGATCTATACCGATGCTRTAGATCATACATACCATTCAATCTATTTTCTCTTATCTTAAGAATATTATTTTCCAGTGCTGTATACAATTGTTTCTCGTCACATTTGATAGGTGTCTGTGTAGGAACCAAATGTGCAATTTCTTTGGCATAAGGATCCAACACAGGAAGCTTGCAGCTGTTTAGGTCTTCAGACACGTTGGCCAGCGGACATTCCAAATTCACTGAAAGAACTGACCAGGACTACCTAGTTAGTAAGGGATACTTAACATATAAGTTTATGTTTCTATTCTACCTAGAAGGTTTCACCACGGTCAGTTTGTAGAGCACATCAATGGCACTTTTTTGAGTGAAAATAACCTCCCTTGTCATGGAAAAACATTGTGATATTCTTGATAACATTGTTAACTGCCTTCAAACCCTTCGACAGCATGTGAGCCTAATGTGACCATTTCGACTACCTTGTACTTACTAGCTTAAGCTTTGTTGTTGTGTGTTGATTTTGTTTAGTTGTGTTATGTATTTGCTTTGGTGATCTCATTTGTTTGTATTATGAATTGAGCTTCCTGTGCTTTGTGCAAATWTTGAAGGRCYAACATTTTGTTCTTACTTGATAAATACAAATGAAGATATTTCCTCTTGATGTACAGATTTAAAGACGAAGGCGATGGGATTCCAAATGATTGCTTCAGATAGGCATATTCTGGTTYATGTTTTCCAATGTTTTCAATAAAACTGAACGCCTTACATAGTGACTGCATTTCGTCACATTTTGAAATGACGTCAGAGATGTTGGTTAYCGGCTTGTATGACGTAATGTCCCCAAGTCCAGGGAAGTCAGTACCAGGCACCTGAATAAATAACCAAAGCCAAAATATCCGTCAATCACAAAGGAATGTTTTTTTTTGGCGAATTCTCTTTACCAGACCATTCTCTAAAAATCAAAATACGAGGTACGAGAATAACTGCGATACATCTTCTTAAATCTGATTCAGTACATACATGCATAAGCTAGTTCATAGTTTTGATAATCGTTTCCAGTGTGCATTCGATTTTATCCTGGAACAGAAAATTATCTGAGTGAAGTTTATTGAGAGATTCGGATGTTCACCGGATTCAGGTTGTCCGGTTTTAATCTGCCAAAATTGAAGCACTAAATTCCAATTCGATRTCTGAAATACAAATTAGCCGTGCCGTGACTTTTGATCAGTACAGACTGTTGTTTAAGGGTTCAATTCGAGAAGTGAATTAGCCGTGCGGAGACTTTGATCAGCCCAGACTGTTGTTTAAGGGTTCGATTCGATAAGTAAATTAGCCGTGCGGAAATTTTGATCAGCACAGACTGTTGTTTAAGGGTTCGATTCGATAAGTGAATTAGCCGTGCGGAGACTTTGCAATTGATCAGCCCAGAMTGGTGTTTTATAAGGTTACTGGAGACCTTCGTGGGTAACGTTCCCCCCCAAAAAATTTTAATTAAATAATATAAAAGATTGTAGGCTGAGCTTTTATTTTCAGCAATTTCTTTTTAGAAATATTAAATATTTCGCGAGTTATTAAAAAGAAGAAAAAAAAAAGATTTGAAGAAAAAGTAAACAAAT